GACACCTTAAAATAACAAACCTTCAGTTATCACACACTCACCTTGAGTTGTTGTTCCTAACAGTTTTGGCATTGCCAAAAGCTTCAAGAACTGGATTTGACTGTTAGATCAATAACCAAGAGCATCGACTTAGACAAAATATTCCCAACCTTGTAATGTTAGGAAGCTATAGAACAAATGTTGCAGAAAATATATAAAAAGCTAAGAAGAAAGATATCTTCAACTTACTTCCAGAACTTGTTGTTCAACTGTTCGTCCCTCTACTCCAGATCGGCCACCCAGGTAAGCAAGATATCTCATGAGCATCTTTGTTGTCTCGGTCTTACCGGCACCACTTTCTCCACTAACCAAAATCGAGTTGCTCCTTCCCTCATTAATCATTGCCCTATTAATATAGGGAACAATTAGAGAAAGTATGACTGGAAAACTGTGATGTCAAATGGAGATGGAAATTTACCTATATGCAACATCGGCTACAGCAAAAACATGAGGACTAAGCTCTCCGAATTGGGCTCCTTTATATTGTTCCATCATGTGAGTATCATACAAATGTGGCAATCTTTGAAATGGGTTTATGGCAATCAGGATATTGCCAGTGTAAGTCTGAGAAAAATATCAAATAGTACTTCAGCCGAAAAAATAAAAATAACACTTCAGTTATATCTGCAATTTTCTTGAATCAAACTGGGTTTGACCATGTTAGATCATGAAACGGAAAACTGAAAATCAATCTTACATAGATCTCGTTAAGTTCATATCTCGTAGCCAAGTTATGCAGAACCCCTGGTTCATGCAAATACGATAGCTTTGTCATGTCATCTACACCTCCAGGTGATGCTTCAGTATCTTTTGGAAATACTTTTGAGATATCTGCGACAACCTGCCATGATTTTTCCAGTCAGAGGGACATAGAATTATTATGATAAGATGATTAAGATAGGAAGTCAAAACTATATTTAGTGTAAACATCAACGTTTCCTTTGGAATGACTAATAAAGCTTCAGAGACAAACTTTAAAATAGATAATTTCCAAAGTTACTGAGTACTAAAAATTGCCTGCATTAGAATTTGGTTAATATAATCTACGCTAAAGCCGGTAAATTTATACACATGCAGACAAAGGCACGTACTTTTTCACCCTTTGCTACTAACGTATATACTAACATGCTGATGCGTTTCATAAGTACATAAGAAACAAAAACATACAGAAAAAGTTAAGCTAGGGTCAACTTACTGTTTTTCCATTTGTTGCTTGAACATGAACTTCTTCACCATTGATTTTAAAAACCTCTCCATCAATCCATGCCTCCACCGGATCTTCAACCCATACATGAGAGCCCACAATAATGTTAACTGGTGCAGCCTGCAAAAAGATTAATGCATAATCGTCAATGAAAGTAGCTTAAGAATACTATAATAATTAACAATTATTCAACAAAATGTATGCACAAAAAGCAGTCAATGAAAGCATCAAGAACGGCATCAAAAATTCAATCAAAATGTGATAAAAATACTACACCCCGAATGCATAGTGGGGTGAAATTTACTATGATTGACACAATTTAAGTATAATATTTAGATATCTCAAAAATATCATGAAGATATGAAAATTAAAACCAAGGGTATGATAAAATAACTTAACAATACTTCAGCAGAAAACGAACTGTTGGAGATATTCTATAGGAATAATACAATAACAATGATCTATAGCTGGAGCTTGTTGATGAGAACACAAATCATTACTCATAACCAGTTTAGTAAAATGCCTTGCATCTAATGTAATTCAAGACGGTAAGTTGTAGCAATTAACTATACTTCTGACCTATAAAGATTTATACTGAAAAATGAATAGCCAGCAACAGTGATGGAGGAGTCTAGCTACACTTGAGCAGACATTACCATTACATCCTCTGCCCGCGTCTCAACCATTGACTTTCGAGTCAACTAGCCAAAATTACAGTAAAACAGATCCCCCACTCCCCTAATGTCGACATCTACAGCTATAAAATATAAATTAACGGGAAATACTCTCACCATCAATGAACAATATCATGGAACAAAAATTAAATTCGCAAGAACATGGCACTCCACAATAAACACCAATGAAAAATCGTTCCGAGTGTTTTAGTTTTATCATCTGTTAAACATTTAATTATATTCTTAATAGCTCAGATCCACAATGACAAAATCTTTACAAGCTTTCATTTATGTGATCCTCTATATTCAAAATTCAATTACTAAACCATCAACAATAGAATACCTTAATGATCGTCAAAGTTCCATATCGTTCTCCAACTCAAAAACAACTTTACAATACAAACATCAATTACAAACTGATCAAACTAAACAAATCAATCAAACACAATAACTAACAACTTTGTTCAAAATTACCATGACGATTGCGTTGTATCGATCTTCTTCTCTAACTCATCGACGAAATGACGGAGTTCCGAAAAGACGAACTCAGTGAGTCAGATCGGCGAGACCAAGACCGGTAGCTTTAGGAGTTCCAACGGCAATTTCCAGACCAAAATAATGAGAAGAAAAAGCGGGATAAAGTACTTAAGCTGACAAGAAAACGATACTGAGAAGAAAACAAAGAGTTAATGAGTTTGAGGATTTGCAATTTGGAAAAAGCTTTTCAGTTTCTGGTTTTGATCTTCTCTCTCTAAAAAATGAGATGTGAAGTTTATATATACAAAAATAACGTACAAGCTTTCTCTCTCTAAGTTCTTACTGGTCAGCTGGGGTCCAAAGAAGAGAGAGGACTGGTTGGACATTCGTGGTTGCCACAAACAGTGCGCTTTTGCACTAAAACCGACATCAGACAGAGATTTAAGGGACAAATTATGTCATTTCGTGTTTTTTGTTTTGCATTTCGACAGAGTTTTTCTGTTATTTACGGAATTAGACAATTGTTATATATATATATAGAATTATTAAAGAAAATAAATGAGTATGTATTCTCTTTAATCAAAGTTCATGTCATTAAGTGCGTATTAAAACTACTTTACCCATTTCAAAAGCAACTTAATTAAGTTAATTTTATATTGATCAACATGTAATGAATTGTGATTAAATTGTGTTAATCTTTTTGTTCAAAATCATCAGATCATGTAATCAATTATAATTAAATTAAAAACCAATGATAGGTGTTTAATTTTTTTTTTATATAAATAAAAAAACCTAATCAATGAATAATTGAGAAATTATATAGCGTTTGTTTAAAGATCATTTTTTATAAAAATATTTTTCTTTTTCTAAAAGATATTTGAATCTCTTTTTATCTTTAAAAGATATTGTCAAATTCTTTTATCATTGAAAATAAAAATAAAACAAATTAAAAAATTCTTTTAAAATGTTTTTCACAATAACACCCTACCATCGCACAATGAAAGGAACCGTATTCAATACAAATTGAGTTTCACGTAGGGGTAAATATGGAACTGTATATTACTTAGGATGTAACATACTTTCCGACCAAAAAAATATTAAATTCTTTCATGACAACACAATCTGAAATCCGCCCACCATTTGCTGGCCCGTAAATATTTTAGCCAAAGTATTTGCGGATAGAGATGTTACCGTACAGCCACTTACATCTATTTCACTGCATCAGTTCGTGCTCCCATGTCAACATCAGAGTTAATAAGAATCATGATTCATTTAAAGACTTGATTACCATTTTGGAATATGACACATGTCCATGATGCTATCAACGACGGTTTGGATTGAGTGGGATTGAATGTATTTAAAATGGAAATGTTGTAACATCGACAACAGAGGGGAATGTGAGAGGCTCCGCGCATGTGGGCAAGGGTAGGTGCAGACCTTGAATGACCAAATCATCCCTGGCCGGCGGCCGCCAAGCCACCGACCGTATTCTAATTTCTTCCGTCACCAAGGACGAACAACATAAGATTGACAAGTGTCATTAATACATAGGTCGGATTTTTGGGGTTGCACTTTTTCCTGTTCTTTGAGCAATTAATTAGAGAAAAAGCATAGAAAACTAAATTATAAATTGGTGGAAATACTGCAGCCATTAATCCTTTGACTAGATACACGCAATTCAATATCTAATTTCTAAAGATTTATTAATTTATTAGAGATTTGATTTCATACGTGGCTAAAATTTAATAATATAGATTGATTTACAATTCAATCTTATAAATTTTTTCTCATAATTTTGATGTGTTAATTCACAATTGGACAGATGAGACCCACAACAAACAGACATGACTCATTTATAAGTTATCACTTAGAAGATGTGAAAAAATATTTATAAGCTTAGATTGTAAATTATAAGCATAGTATTATCTAAAAGTTAATGACCGTTTGAAAATATAATGTTGTGTTCAAATTTATCGGACTTTGTTTTATTCTTTTGAGTGATGTTTATATTTGACAACGATATTGTTACCATCTTTATCTGATATATATCAATTATTATTTACTTGTATTATTATGATACAACATTACTGTCTTTCATTACTATTATCATCAATGTGACCATAAATTTTTTATTATCATTATACAACCACCATGATAATTCACGTATGATTAGGGATGAAATTGAGTCGAGTATCTAGTAAATCGAACTCGACTTGATCGCTATAGTACTGAGTTCGAGTCTGATCGAGCCTAAGAAATGAAGTTCGAACTTTAAAATTGGAAATCAAGTTTTAAAAACTATCAACTTAACCATCGAGCTTAGAAATACTCGCGAACATATTAAGTCGAATTCTACTGTGATCGAACTTGACTTGATTAACTACTTGAACTCAAACTCGATTTGATTAACTACTCAAACTCGAACTCGACTAATACCGAGTCGAGTTCGAGCCAACATCGAGTTGAGTTCAAGTAGCTCGTGACCGGCTCGACTTGATTTTCACCCCTACCTATGATTCATCTTCCTAAATCAAATATTTATATTAACTTAAATTAATTTCACTTTTCCTATGACCATATAATTGGACTCGTCCGCTTAAATGAGAGTCAAATGATTGTAACACAAAATTTTAACACGAATTTGTAATATAGATTTATGATCCTTAATTCATGGTGATCGGTGATCCAATCACATAAAAATTGTTTTATTGATATTAAAAATAATTTCTCATTCAATTTTATTGAATTAAATTGAATAGACGGATAAGAATTTGCAACAAAAAGAAATCAATTTGAAATTGCGAGAAGATAATTTTTTATTTTTTTTGTCCAACATTAACATGAGAAAAATTATCAATTTAATTAATAGAATGTAACGAGTTCTACCCTTGAGAAAAATCTTATAGTACAAAGAATAGTGAACGGCTGGACTCCATGATGTTTAATTGATATAATAAAAATTTCTTTACGTTTTAGAAATAACACAAATGCCCTATCATTTGTATATTTTTTATAAGCCATTACAATTTACTCATATACAATTTGATGGATATTTATGTCATTATCTTTTTTTTATAGATTATTTACACCTAAAATTTAATTATAAGAGAATTTTTATCATTATTATAGCCTCAAAGAGAATATTTTTTAATAATACTACATTTACAAACCTTTTATATAAATTTTATCTGTTTCTCATACAAATTGATGTGGCAACCTTGCATGTTTATCATGTAATTTTTTTAATTATTCAATTTATTTTTAATTTAAAATCATATAATCATCTTTCATCACATCAGTTTGAATGAGAAAGTTTGTAAGTGCAGTATTACTTATCTTTTTTTCCTTCAATTAAACGTCGGGGATCATTGATACTAAGCTAAATACAATTTAAAAAAAAAAAAAAAACACATGCATACATGATACAAAAACATATTATTGTTATGTTGATTCGATAATGAAATATGTTTGTTTATTACCTATATTATTATGACGTGTTGGTACAGAATTTTGCACCAACTAGCGAGATCCGATCGACCTTGCCGGGATCAGAACCAATGTGTGCATGATTAGTAATAATCAGTGATGAATATGAATGAAATGAACTAAAGACAAAGAGATTTTTAAAGTGGTTCAGCCAGGTTAACAACCTATGTCCACTGTATTTTTGTATTTGCTGGGAGAGCTTACAATGCAATTATTATCTGAAATTCGTGACCCCCTCCTCATTGTCTAAGGGGGGTCTATATACAAGATCTATACAAAGGAAGCAACGAAATTTAGGGGATTACAACTGATTTGAATCATAATTCAAATATCCTCGTGATTGGGCGCTGTAATTGTGCAATGATCTCCATTGATCTAGTTATTCCCATAATATCTAGGATCTGAAGTAACATAGGGATTGATTGAATGATTCCTTGAATTGTTCGCGACTAGCTTATGCTGGGTTGAGCTATAGCTCGACGAGCTTATGTTGGGTTGATTAATCATAGTTGTCGAGCTCATTCTGGATCGAGCTATATCCTCAAATTAGCCCGAGCTTGGCGGAAAAACCACACATAACATCTGCCCCTAGTGTTCGATGCTCATTTCGGGCTTCAAAGACTATTGCTCGATTTGATGCCAAGCTTGGCTTCAACAGTGAGTCTTCGAGCGTGTGTTCAATCGGGCCCCCATGATCGACCTTGTGCTTGGCCGACGTACCTCACACTTGGATCTTTATTCCTCATCGTACCTGTTAAAACTCTGAATATGAACAGTCAGGACATATAGGTATTTTTTTGCGTGATCATGCTGCATTAAATACGGCAGCCTTTGTCAGTTACGTTTCGTCGTACGTGGGCGATGACAGCTGTTCACGCGTGAAGTCAAGGCGACGTGCGACGACAGTTATCATTATAGCAATCTGACGGTTCGTCGCTCTTTATGGATGGTCGACACGTGGCCACATCTACAGGCTAAGATTACTCAATGAATGAAGGGTCAGGATCGACTGTAAGTCGACGACCACGATTAAACCCCACCTTTTTGTCTCCCATGCAAACCACTATAGAAGGTGGCAAATAACCTTAGAATAGTCACTCCGAAAGTCATTCTGACTTTGGTTCTCCATTGTCGTTGTTCTTACGTCATCGCGGTGGTCTTTCTCATGAGTTTCCAACAATTTCCTTATTCTGGTAAGGCTCTTTCCCCTATTTTCTTTGGTTTTCTAATTTTTGCGTCAAATGGTGGCTACTATAGTGGCCACATTGGATGTTTTAAGGTTTTAGTAGGGTTTTTGGTTACGTCTTCGGCGATCTCAGGTTTAAGAGAGGTTTAACGCGGTGGCCGTTGGTATCCCGGGTAGGTCGCGTACCTTCGTTGTATTGTGCGAGCTATCTCAAGTGCCTGAAATAGAAGCGAGTGTGGAATGGTCGCCGATTTGTTCGCTTCGACACATGTTTGCTTCTTTTTTCAGGTACCCAAAAGCGAGCTATAACCATGTCTTCCTCTAATAGTCGTACCATAGACCAATTTTTTTATTTGCCGGTAGGCTCGGCAGCCCTTGGGGATGTGTCTCCCGAGGTCTCTGAAGAATTCGTCGCCCAAAGCTCAGACCCCGATGCTGCGGGCTCGTCTGATCATGCTTCGATTCAGCTAGCTCACTCCTTGTCGTCTCTAACCCATAGGTTATGAAGAGAACCACAATCCTCGATCACCCTTCGGGATCTTGAATGCATAAGAGTGGTCTATGCGCCGCAACTGAACATGATAGTTCCAGGGCGATATTCTCGGAAGAACCCCCGACATGGATAGGTAGCAACCTTTGAGACTCTCCTTAGGTGCAGGGTATCCATTCCCCCGCACTACTTCATCGATAACATGTTGAGATGGT